ATTTTAAAGCTGCTGCCGCCATTGTTCAAAAATAGCCATATTAGGTTAATTCTGGGCTGTATAACAAAGCCTTCTGTTAGCAAAATGGACCCGCTTTTCTTGATACGAAAGTTTTTAAAAAAGAACAGTAACTTTAAAAAACGCGTGGTTACTCCTACTTTTTATGTTATGAAATGGAAGTGGCAAGCCTATTCATCACGTGATTAGTTTCTGGTTGTGAGCAAAAGGTATTTAGACAGTATTTTAGCTGAACCAGAGGAAGGCTGTCAGAGACGCTAAAAGCACTGTTGTAACGATTTTGTTATTAAAAACATACCAAAAATGGTTTTTATGTAACCATTAAGTTTTAAGATCTTTATAAATATGTTTGTTTTTCTGAATGCAAAGGCGAATTCTAAGAAAATCTGTGAAGAAATATCCTTTCCTTCTTTTTTCAGAAAAATGCTGATGTCACTATTTTTGTTGAGATTCAAGGCTAATTACCTCGAAAAAATGCGTGGCTACCCCAGTTTTTCTTTGTGGATTCTAATAACCCTTGTAAAGATCTATTTTTTCCGCGTGGTCCTAAACTGGCGCAAAAACCTTTGTTTTTAGTAGGCACCGTCCTTAAGCGAGCAAGCGATAAAGCGAGCCAGCAAGCAAGCAAACAAGCGAGGAAGGACGCGAGCAAGCCAGCCAGCCAGCCAGCCAGCGAGCCAGCGAGAAAGTAAGCCAGCGAGCAAGAAAGCAAGCAACCAAGCGAGCAAGCGAGTAAGGAAGCAAGCAAACAATTGAGCAAGCAAACAATTGAGCAAGCCGGCCAGCCAGTCAGTCAGCGAGCCAGCGAGAAAGCAAGCCAGCGAGCAAGAAAGCAAGCAACCAAGCGAGCAAGCGAGTAAGGAAGCTATCAAGAAAGCAAGGGAGCAAGCGAGCAAGCGAGTAAGGAAGCTATCAAGAAAGCAAGGGTGCAAGCGAGCAAGTTTTTTTAGGGTAGCACATGACAGTAAAAACTGATAAACCAGTGGCCCTTTTTGAGGGCCACTGGTTTTCTAAACCAACAAAATCGTATTCGTCCCAGTCTTTACAGATCTCGTTCAGGACGTGGGCTCAGCTATTTGCATACAAATCTCTCAAAAACCAATATTCCCGCTTATTGACTAGAATCCTTTGATAACTCGATTCCATTTATCATCGATGAGACGTCTGAAGCTCAAAGTTAGATTTGTTTTGATTCTCCTGTAAGGACTTGCGTACTGATCATGAAAATAGGCCATTACTGTAGATGCGATCATTTTCGAGACAATCTTTTCATAAACCAACCAAACCACACCCGAACTGAGTCACACAGGGTAAAATTCCACTTAAAAATCGCGACTTCTGACATAAAAAAAGAAAATATTTCTTAAGGTCGCGGGAACGAATCCCTGTCACTGGTTCTTGACCTTAAGATCTCATAAACGAGGATGAAAATTTACTTACTCACGGTACTCTAACATTTCAAATTCAAATCTACGTTTTTAACTGATACCCTCCTCTCACTTTCTTTTATTTACACTTCGAGGTACTTTTCAAAACGTCCTCGCATTGTCCCCCGACCCCTACTCCTTCCTAAGCCGCGGACCGAAACTGCTCGCAGGTTCTGGACAGAAGATTGCCCACACTCTCCCACACTGAAAAAGATAAGCCGAAATGATCACAAGCGTACGCGTTTGTTGTCTGTAGAGTTTAAACTACTTTCACAAGGGACCAGGGCTAATCCTGAATTCGTTCATTTCTTTCGTTTTCGACTTTACTAAACGAAACCGTCACCCCCCCCCCCACTGGGGGGTCATACACAACGCAGAGAGTCGGCCACAGCCCAGCGATCAAATGCCTTTTTGTCACAGCAAAAAAAAAAAAAAAACAGAATATGGCGCTTTCCGTTTCCAGTGGGAGGGGAAGAACCCATGTGAAATGGGCATGCTCATCGTTTCGAATTGGGAGGAGGAGGAGGAGGCCGCGGCGTGGCCAAGTGGCCAAGTGGTTTAGGGCGCTGGATTTGAAATCTGGAGGTCCCTGGTTCAAATCCTCCACCCTACCGCTATCTCGATTTGTGCTCGGTAGCCCCGACTTCAAATCCTCGACCGCGTTGTGTAAACTGATCAGCCTCCTGTTGGGATTCTTAATAGTTTATGTTCTATTTGCAATATTTATTTACTAGTAAAAGTTATCACTAAAGCTGTGCCCGCTTCCTTTTATTTCTACTGATTGAAAACAATTGAACATTATTGTGTGAACTAAAACTTTTTTTTTTGTAAACTTTATCACTCTTAATGCTCCTATAACTTAGGCATCATCATGATTATTATCCAAACGTATCAACTAAGTAAACTAAATCAACACTTTCTATTTAACTCATTCCATTCCAGACAGCCGTGAGTTTTCGTTCGAAAGGACACAAAAAGTACTTTCTCAAAGAAAACATAGGCACGCAAGGCGTGCAAGAGTTAATTTTTTGGGTGAAGTGTTGGAGATAGGAGCATTCATGGAGCTGTTTACAGTAATGATTTGGTTAATTTGACAAGTTTT